GTTACCGCCTCGCGCCCGACCGTTAGAACTGGGCGGGGCGGTGCCGCGTGGCGCCTCGTGCAGTTAACGCCTAGCGCCCGACCGTTAGAATGGGGCGGGGCGGCGCCTCGCGCCCGACCATTGGAACTGGGCGGGGCGATCAAACCAACACTGCAGTGCTGCACGTTAGTACCAAGACTATTTGTGTTCTGCAACTTTCTGAAGGGCTATTTCATTAAGGCAGAAGGAGAAATCAAGCAACAATAAATTAACAGCAAAATCAGATAATTATATCCCTACAACATAGTGGAGCACACACAGTTTATGTCACTTGACGCAAATGCAAYGCTGTGCCTGCCATTTCTTCAACTGGGAAAACCAGTTTTGCACTTCATCACTTCCTTTTTTTAAATAAGTCCAGAACATGCAGGTTTTCCTCTAAACGTATGTGCAGCACTTTTACTTCTCAGTGGCTTTATTAAACTAGAGTTACATAYCTTACACATTACTGAGAAATGTATGCTAATAGAATTTTTCCTAAAATCCTGTCATTTCTTTCAGATGTCTTTCAAATAATTTTCAAACTAGCACTAAAAGTCTTCTTGCTACACAGTTCTCCCAGTTTAAATGAGATTTGATTTTATTTTTAGGATCAGTTCTCAGAAAACAAAATCTCATAAAAATTTTCACAGTCAAATGATATGGAACTTAGTTTCATTCCTATTACAGGGCTTTAAGATGCAGGTACTTACACTGCAATTCACACAACTTTTCCCCCTCTCTCCCCAAAGAAATCAAATTTTAATGGTATTATTAGTCATCTCTCTGACATGTTATGTCATAATTTCTCTTGGTTTCAAAGAGGCTTTTGCTCTTTGAGAAACAAGTGGGGTTTACTTTGGACATTTCAAATAATTCTAAGTTCACTCTAGAAAAAAGCAAAATGATAACAGTAGCAAAACACAGACTGAGCACTCAGAAGAAAACATCTAATTTTGTTAAGGAGTCATTTCAAGTGACTTCTAATTTTATCTTTCTTTGCATTGAACAAATGTAGCATCAGCCCACCTAACGATGTTCAAGTACACAGATCAAGTGACAGTCTGCTTTAACATCTGCTCTTTAATAGCAGCTCCCACAGAGATGCACTCAGTGATTTTAGTTTGTAGGATTTCCCTAACTTTGTGGAGTTTCTATAGTACTGCTTTGGCTCTGTGTGTGTGTGTGTGCGCGTGTGTGAGCGCACAGTGTTCATCATTAATTGCTATTCCAAACCTGAAACCAGCATAGAAGAATTCCCTGATACGCAGGGCCAAGGTGGCCAGAGAGCGCAGACTCCCACAGCCTGAGAAACGGCCGAGGCTCCTTTGCCATTCGTAATGTCAGAGCCTGAGAGAGCCCAGGAGCGATGTGATTTTCTTAGGTCTTGAACTAATGAAGGAAATAGGAGGTTCTGCTGGGGGTGACAGTAATCTTATTCATCTTTCCTCTCTGACAGCATGCTGTACTACTTCAGAGGCGCTTTGGAAGGTACAACATACCATGTAGTTAAACAGAGACTGGCAGGAATCAAGGCACACACATGGAGCTGCATTTGTCTGCAAGACCACAGTCAAACAGAGATCATGTTAGCAAAAGTGTGCACAAAGAGATAAAGGCTGAAGCTTTCCCTGGACAAATGCGCTCCCTGGAAAGCATCCTTAAAGCAATATGTCATCTATTATCAAATGTTCCCTAAAACTACATATGCTCATACACAGAAAAACTACTCTGCAATAAGCCACTGTTATGATGTAATACATGCATATTTCTTCTGCCTCCTGTTTTTGCAGACAACAAATTCCATGACAGCTGCTATGAAAATGCCCTCCCAATTCCCCTTCTTGGGAGGAGATAGCTCATAACATAACCTTATCTTATTGGAATAACCTCATTATCAATAGCAGCTTATGATGCGACTTTTATATAAAGTAACAATTTCCAAAATAAATGTAATCTTTCACAGATGCAAAGAGTGAGGATGCCTATTCCTCTGCATCTTCAAAATCTTACCCTGGCATTCCTCTGTTGGTTCCCCTCTCTGATGTGTTTGTTAATGGAATGTGGGCTTTTTTCAGTGGAAAAAATACAGGTAATCAAAAGGATGTTAGAGAGAGAAATGAATTCAGTAAAGAGGCAGTTCACTACAACAAAATACATGTACACAACTCAAGGTTTTGGTCTATAGTAGTCAGAGAGCACTGAAGTGAACAGAAGCATAATACCAGAAACAGTGATCTAGGAAGTCACCTTTAAAGTAAAATTCATCACACTSTTTCTTTTATCCTTTTTAAATATGGAAATCTGTTTTACATTGTCGGGGCTTTCTGTTTGGTTTTGGAGTGCTTTTTAGTCCTGAAAGGGAATTGCCATAGAGCCGCAGGAAACACCAACACCAACCACAGACTAATACTTTCAATGCCTCTCAAGCCTTCCCAGAGCTGCTCTTTCATTACACACAATATGCTGTCACTCCTCAGAACTATGCAACTGTCTTCAAAGCAGTTAATAAGGTCACAAGGCTGTCGACCTTCATATGCTTACTTTCTCAAAATGCTTTCCAATATAAAACTTCCATCCCAAAATTAAGGCAGAAAGGCAAAGGGAATTCATCATTAACACTGCTAGTGGTGTGAACCCATTCCGTTTCATTTTACAGGCATATTGTGAAGGCTGAGACCATCTGTTTTTTTGCAGCCTTTCTTTACACACTTTCATATTTGT